TTTGTGCTTGACCTGGGCCAGGGAATCCCAATAAAGCAAAACAGATAGCACGTAATGGGGATATGCTCTTCCACAGGAGGCTTGAGGTTGAACTTACCAACAAGTAGCTCCCTAGTAAGCCAATCCAGCTGGCTAACAAAGGGGAGAGGATACAACGAGTCCAAGATTAAGCGTAGAGATGACAGGAAAACAGGCGATGAAAAAGAAACACTAGGGGTATCAATGCTGTAAGACTCAGTCTAGGATTATAAATTGTCAAAATAGCTCGCCATTATCTCACCATGGACCGGATTTCCGACATGTAACGCGTTATCAGGGTTGAGCAACGTTCGATTAAAGTTCCTAATCAATCGTTCGACTTGTGGATCAGGGGCGGAAAAATGTTTTTACGCGGCTATGCTTTTCGCTCGGGCTACGAATTCAGATCCGGACCGACCACATCGTGCTGCAGTAAGCACATGCAAGTCATAGTCATGAAGTGATGATCATGAAGTGATGATAGATTGCATGTAAGATGTCTGTCTAGCTCTAGCTTTGAGATTATTAGGAAGCCAAGGTCGTAAAGAAAAGGCATGTCAAATGCCTAGAGCACCCGAGTACCTCCCCCCCCGTCGCCTACATGCTAAACCTCTTCTCGTATGTACTTATCCAACCAGGGTATCAAAAAGAAGTTACGCGTCTAAAGACCAAATTGCACCCGGAGAGCGTTGCCGAAACGTCGGATGGCTTCATCGATGTTCTCAGAACTGGCGGCAGCGAAAGTTGCGCGGAAGAACATCTTGCCCTCGCCAACTTCAGTGGCCATGAACCAGCTACCTCTGGAAACAAGGACGTCGTTGTCAACAGCAGCAAGGAAGATCTCTTCTTCAATTTGATTACGAGTCTTGCCTGCCGCGAGGCCGGGATGCTTTTGCCAATCAATGCCAATCCAGTGCTAGAAAACTGATCAGCTTGAAATCCACTCAATAAGGTATTTGAGCACTTACAAACATGCCCGCTGCGGGTGCGACCCAGCTCGCAATTTCCTGTGGGAGATGCTTCTCACAGGCAACTACCAAGGTATCCCTGCGACCGGTATATTGCATACGAAGGTTGATCAGCCAGTCAAGGTACCCAGCATGGCCCCAATGCTCGTCCAGAAGCTTAAAGAGGAGAATCTGCGAGATACCGCTCGGGTTCTGGGCAGTAGTCTCACTGTGACGAATATAGCGCTCGATGAACTGCTCCGGAGCAACCAGCCATCCGGCACGCGATCCAGGAGTAAGAACCTTGGAGAAAGATTCGATCCGGCAAACGCGGCCATCAGTATCCAAGCTCAGATATGAAGGGACAAGCGAATTGATGAACTCAGCGTGATTGGCCGGGGGCGGTGCAGGAGTGCCGTCGGCGCCGGTGTAAGGCTGCATCTGCAGGAAGTAGTACGGCTCGTCTTCCACAATGAAGATGTCATGTTTCTGAGCGACCTCGTACACAGCCTTACGCCGCTCAGTCCACTGAGTTGCACCCGTGGGGTTTTGTCCCGTTGGGATGGTGTACAGTACGCGAGGCTTACGGCCACCGCGAGTCGCCTCATCCCAGTTGCTGAGAGTTTCGTCAAGTGCCTCGGGCAGAAGACCCTGTTCGTCCATCTTGATCCCGACTACCTTAAGGCCGAGAGGAAGCGCGGTTTCCTTGGCACTCGAGAAAGTGTATTCTTCCATCATGATGTAGTCACCTCTGTTGCAGAGAATGCGGAGGATAGCATCCCAGGCGAAGGTACCACCAGGCGTCAGACAGCATTGCCAATCAGAGTAAGGGGGGTTGTGGATAAGCTAATCGCCAAGAATCAGTCGTTAACAGAGCTTCTTGCAGTGTGATGTACTCCTCCGCAACATACCTCTGTGTGTTCCGTGACGAACCGCAGCAATTGCGGAGATCCCGTGGCCTGGCCGTAATTAAGCGCGACCTCCAAGTCTGATGAAAACAGTCTCAGCCATATGATGAACTTCTCAAGAACGAAAGTGGTCATTTAACACTCACCGTATAAACTTGTTCCGTCACGCGTGTCTCCCTTCTTTGCAGTCAAAACGGCACCGGATTTGCTGCGTTCTTCGGGAGAGAAGCCAGGAGGAGTCGGGACCTTCACGGAGAGTTCATCGAAGGGGAAGTATTCAGGAGAGGGAAGACCACCACCGAGGGAAATCAAGCCCGGGTTCTTGAGATACTGCGCCGCACCCTTCAATGTTGAGGTCTAGAGATATCCAACGAGTACAGGTTAGCTTCGAAATGTGCAGCCGGGCCAGTGGGGTTTGACGGACGAACCTTCCGAGCCTTTGCCTCGATGGAGAAGATATCTGGGAACAAATCAGGATTCAGTCCGAGGAACATAGTGGCGGGTACTAACCATCCCAGCGTTTGGCTTGTGGCTTGGTGTAGCAGTGCTGATGATGGTAGAGGAGGGGTTAGTTCCTTGCGCCATTAGCAAAAGCCAGAAAACGGACGCACTGGGCTCTTGAAGAGGTCACTATGGGTCGCAGGCGCAACGCCCAAGGGAATCTCTGCGCTCTTTGCTCTGAGGGCCGGAATGGCGTCGACTGTCAATGGTACGGCAGCGGAAGCCGAGCCCGAGTCAACGGCCGCGGGGCTCATGGTCGAATTAGAAGCTGGAAAGGATAGGCTGCAAGTGGATTGTATTGTTGTATGTTTCGCACTTTGTGTCGGAAAAGTGCAGAAAGAACAGAGTGAAGGAAAAGAGATGTTGCAACACCGGAAGATGAGTGGGAAAGAAGAGAGAATAAAGAGAAGGAAAGGAAATCGAGTCACACACTCCGACAGCTGCCCGTCCGCTTTTTGCTCCGCTTTAGAAAAGCTCGGGCGGACCGGTTCCGCCGGCAAGCGTCGCGCACTGCAACGGCGATTTGTCCACGATAGCAACCTGCGCTGCAGGACGAGATACAGCAGCTTCCCTTGGCGATTGTGATTGGCAAGTGAGGGTGATAACTTAGGAGCAGGTGGATCAATCGCATTGACCCTGGAAAGGCATGGTAAAATCATTCTATCGAATTGCGAATGCTGTCATCGGTAAGGCGTGGCGGGGTAATGTATGTACGGTATGTAATCCAAGTACCGCCCGGCATACATTTCGAGTTATTTCCGACAGATACGGATTTGATGCTTTTCCCCGCATCTGCAAAAAACCTGGGGTAATCACAGATCATTGTATCATGTGCAATCCCTTCACTGAATCCCTGCGAATCTGGATCTTCACGCAGGGATCTCCCAAGGGTAGAACATGACGACAATTGGAGGGGGAAAGTTGAGAAGTGGTAATGGTGCATATCGGCAGTATGACAGCCCCACGCCTAGATAAGGCTATCGCCGGCATCGGAGCGAGACTTATCGGAGATCCGATCAGCCATGGTTCCTTACAACTTTCAAGTGCCCATGGTATCATCTCGCTGCCAAATGAGTCAAATGAGGAACTATAACCGAAAACCCTTCAATACACAGTACCCTTGTTGCGCAAATATGACAATATGATTTGATTTGTAATGGGAAACCCCGTGCATGCGCCTAGTCTTACAATAATCACAGGCGCAACTTCATTAGTGTACAGTACGTGGGGTCTTATACTGTATCGGTGGCCTGGTCGTTCGCGACCCGGAAGAGCCTCGCAGAGAAGACCGTGATTCCTCGGATATAAGGCTCAAAACACTCGATCAATCGAGTACCCCATACTGTCCTTGTTTGAGAGTGGTCCTAGTGAGTCCAAGTAGGTATAAGTGAGTGAAGGTCTGATTAATATCTTTAGAATCATGCTCAAGTAGCTCTTCCACAAGGATTCTACAGTAGGTCAATTAATATGCTTTATTTCCGCTCTCTCAGACAAGAAAGACGAACCCGACTAGGCAACGATTTAACCATCACAAATCCTTATGGCAGCCTTCTTCTCTCCTCTGCAGTTCTCAACATCACTTCCAGTTCTGGCAGAGTGCGTGGGTCATTAAATGGAAATAAGGGTACGGTATTTTCTCTCCATCATTGAGACCTGTACTGCAGTACTCTTCTTGTGAATCCCTAGTTGAGAAAGTAGCCCCGGAATACAAATACCTCGCCCGACCCCTTGACTAATGCTAATACTACCTTTTAGCCCCAAAATCCGTCTACCACGGAATTCTCGTCCTTTCATTGAGTTGGAAGAATGAAGACAGATGCGAGGAGGCGTACTTCGGCGATTCGCTGGACATAGGCCTCCGCAGATTTCGGCAGGCAACCTACGGGTGGCCTGCGAATGGCAAGGTGCTCTGGACGCTGGAGTACGATGCTCAACCACGCCGGTTGGAACAGGTGCCGGAGCGGCGTGGACTGCTGCCTGCGCTGAAAGTAGCTCAGGATACGGATGAGCAATGCGCGAATCTAGAGCGATCAGATTTGGCGACGTTCTTTGAGGATCCAGCGGACTATCTCCAGTTTGCGGACCTTTACAGGGTTAGAGGCAGAGGGAGAGTGTATGATATGAAAGGAATTATGACGAATGGTGGTCATGGTGGATTGGAATGGGACAGTATCTACGGGTGAGGGCCATTCATGACCTCCAGTATCCGGACCAGAGCACCAATAACTTAGCATCGAGCTTGGAGTCGGGCATAGTACTACAAATATGTAAGAATATCAATATGATAATTAGCGAGGATATCTGAAACTAAAACTAAAAATAGTTTCTTAAGTCTTTTGTCATATATAGCCTCTGGAAAGTCCCGATTAATGCCCTGATTCTAGTGTTGTAGAGGCTGACCCAGCACCATACTCAGATAATGATTATGGATATATGCCACCCGAAAGGTGGGCCGCTAGCACTCTAAAGCAATGTAAATCGGGAATATATTTTATGGTAATGCGCAAACCATTGACAGAACCGGATGCAGTATGGATAAGTAGCATGAGTTTCAGAGTTACGTGCGGAGTGCAGCCTCAGAACTGGTGCTCCGCATCGAGATGGCTAACTTCCCCTCACTTCCCCTCTCGCGAAAGCCACATCAGTCAACCCGGAATAAGACAAGCATCACATCGTGCTCACCATCACATGCAATATTCGCACAACTGCTCACCCAACTGCTCATCCAACTTCTCGCTGATGAAGTAAAGTTCTACTCCGCAAGACGAAAGGCCTGGGAAGACTTGACCGAGAGTCGACATTGAATCTGGAACCATCCGACCCCTCTCCATCCAAGCCAGAAGCTCAACTCCGAGCTCATCGAGCCACAATGCTGGAAAATGGAATTGAGGACCGGCGTTCTTCGTCATGGGCCATCATATCAAGTTTACCATGGTTGGATCCCCAAGTTGATCTATATAATGGCCCTTGAAGTATGGACAAATTCGAGAGGTCAAGACATCAGTGTCTCCCGAAGTCATCGACATTTCCAGCTTTGTTTCTATAACCACATCACGCAAAACACCAGCATTTTGTCCTTCATCAATTTTCTACGCAAGTCCCCCAAGCCCCCCACCAAAATGCGCGGAAAGGTCACCATCGAGGAAGCCTTCGAGATCCCGTCCGAGGCAGATCAGAGCCGCGACCAGGCGGCAATCTACGTAGCGCCGGACGACCTGGAGCGCTACCTGCGGCAGATCAAGTCGATCACGGGGGAGCGGCTGAAGATCTCAGAGGACAACGGGATCGGGTACACGGTGCTGTCGCTGACGGTGCCGGGAATCCAGGGGATCCGGGAGCGGCAGAAGGCGGAGTCGCACGCGCGCGAGGTGAACAACTACATCGCGGACAAGATCAAGGACCACCGCGACCGGCTGGGCGCCTTCGCGGCGCTGTCGATGCACGACCCGGCGCAGGCGGGCAAGGAGCTGCGGCGCTGCGTGAAGGAGCTGGGCTTCCACGGGGCCCTGCTGAACGACGTGCAGCACACCAACCAGCGCGGCCGCTGCCTGTACTACGACCAGCCCGAGTACGACGAGTTCTGGCGCGTGGCCGTCGAGCTCGACGTGCCCATCTACCTGCACCCGGCCGCGCCCACGGGGGACAACTACAAGGAGCACTACGAGAACCGCAAGTACCTGGTCGGCCCGCCGCAGAGCTTCTGCAACGCGGTCGGCCGCCACGTCATGGGCCTCATCACCAACGGCGTCTTCGACCGCTTCCCCAACCTCAAGCTGATCCTCGGCCACCTCGGCGAGCGCATCCCCTTCGACTTCTGGCGCGCCAACCACTGGATCAACGACGTCGAGCGGCCCCTCGCCAAGAAGAACGGTGACACCATGTGCGAGCGCGACGTCCTCCACTACTTCAAGAACAACATCTACGTCACCACCAGCGGCCATTTTAGTACCAACACCCTGCGCTTCGTCGCGGAGGAGATCGGCGTCGACCGCATCATGTTCAGCGTCGACTATCCCTACGAGAGGCTGGAGAACGGCTGCGGATGGTTCGACAACAACTCCGACGAGCTCAAGAAGATCCTCGGTGGCCGCGACGGCTATCTGCGTGTCGGCAGGGACAACGCCAAGAACGTCCTCAAGCTCTCCAAGTTCAAGGACTCCGACGCCCCCGTCTGATCTGGATGGCTTTTCGGGAACTATCATCAACTGATTTGCCTGGTTGCTATCGCTTCGCTCGATTCTGTTTCGTTTGTTAGTCGTAGGCTGAAAATTGCGTGGAACATGCGCCGAATCAGGCGTGGGGGCGGATTTGCTAAGACTGTGAACACTCCTTACTTAGGTAACTCATCTAGTAAGTAGGAACAATGCATTGACTGTTTGCTTGCCTGCTTGAATCCTCTGGGAACGTTCACTCCTCGTATTGTACAGCTCGCAACAGCCGTTAGAGTAGTAGCACAAACACACTTGACACATCCTTTTTGGAAGATAGGGCTCGCTCTTCACAAGTAACAGGGGAACATGGCAGGTGTTACTTTGAGCGCTCTAGCGCATACGTCTAGTCCTCTCAAGGCAACACTTTGGGTGCCCTGTCAGCCCGTCAAAGACAGAAGCATTGGGTTAATTCGACTGTTTTGTAATTCAAGCGCGACTAAGGCAATCTGACGAGGACTAAAGTTTCTTGAATCATCGATCTTCTTTGCAATGATATATAGACTTCCATGTAAGTCATATTTGCTACACATACAATTCAAGTTCAAAAGCTTAAAGTTTTGGCTTTGCCACGTATTTGCCCTCCGTCCCATCCAACTGCGCTTCCAACACAGCCGTGGTGCCATCCTGCACACTCTTGATGGCCTCAGGCAGCAACCGACGGAGCTCCGCAACCGTTGACGCCTGCGCCGCCCAGAATTGACCTCCCGAGGCCGCCTTCGCGATCCCGGGGTAGTCCGGAGTGGGCGCGAAGGAGATGTTGAGGTCCTCGTTGGTGGCCCGGGAGCCGTCGCCGTTGGGGTGCACCAGCAGCATACTCCTCCGCGGGGCATTCCAGCCCTTGTTGTTCAAGACAATTGTCAGGATGGGGATATTGTAGCGGCGCGCCACCCAGTACACGGAGCCAGGCACCGAGAAGAGGTACGTGCCGTCGCCTACGATCTGACAGACGAACTTGCCCTTGTTGTTCCCCCCGTGTTCAAGATCGGTCGCGAGCTTGATGCCCAAAGCACCGCCACCAGACCAGCCCAGACCACCGCCGCCGCAGTTGATCCAGGATTTGGGGATAGTTGCTGCGATTTGATCCGAGACGATCCCGGTCAGCGTCACGGACTCGATCGCCCAGATGGTGTCAACAGGACATCCCTCCCGGAGCTGGGATATGAGATACGACGCGTTCAATGGCGCCCCGCCCCCGCCTGCTGGGACCACGGCCATATCGGCGATTGCCTTGCGCGTTTTTCTGAATTCTTCCTCACGACGTTCGCCCCGTGCCTGGTTCTCTGCCGTGTTAATAGATTGTTGTAGCTTATGACTGGATGCAATAAAGTCGTTGATCTGCTTGAGCGCCGTTGCAGACTCCGCCCGGTAGGTTGCACTCGAGTTGATATAATGCACAGGTATCTGTTGCTTGAGAGGATCCACGTCGACGTGGACAATTTTGGCGGTGTCGGAAGGCTTGCAAATGGTAGGAATCCATGGTACGTCGCAATCGGCAACGAGAATGAAGTCAGCCGTCTTTATCGCATCATGGATTCCAAACCGCATTCCTAGAGATGCTGGATGGTCACCTGGGAAGCACATGTCGCAGCCACCAGTATCTAGAACGCGCAGGCCCTTGAATGTGTCGGCTAGAGTGACCAACTCCTTCACTGCCTGGGGGTTGCGGCCCGAGTATCCTACAATCGCCAATGGCTCTTTGGCAGCCGCAAGCTCAGTAGCAATCAACTCCACTCCTGCCGAAGGTAGTGCTGGTGGAGCAACTCGTACCCACTGGCTTTGATTGATAGAGTACGGGGTTATTTCCTCCTCCATGACCTCTCGAGCACCAGCCAGATAGACAGGGCCCTGAGGGTCGCTTGTGGCGAACTGTAAAGCCCGATTCACCATCTGTTTTATGTTCTTGCCCGATCGGATTTCTCCAGCATAACGACAGTACTGAGAGACGATCTGCTTCTGGTCCGGAACATCTTGGATCCAGTGGATGTATTCGGTGCGAGAACCTCGCATCTCACCCTCAATTGTATAAGGAGAAAGACCGGCAAAGATCAGAACCGGAGCACGACCACAGGAAGCGTTGTGAATGGCTGCAGCGAGCCCTTGCGTGCCCACATCGACGTGAACAATCACACATTGAGGCTTGCCAGTCAGACGCGCATAGCCATCGGCCATGGAGAGAGCCACCATCTGCCAAGAACGAAGGATTGCGGGGTTAGTGCGGAGGTGCTTGAAGCCGATGGCCTGGCGATAAGGAATCAACCCACCTCATTAGGACATGTTACAATCTTTGGGAACTCCTTGGGTTTCTCTTTCTGGCCTTTGACCATGGCTTCTAGGATTGAGGGATGATCGGAACCCAAATTCACGAAGACATGAGTGACGCCGGCCTGTCGAGTCAGCTCTTGCTGTGAGAGATGTGGTCGTCGGGGTCCAAATTAGCATACCTCCCACAGAGCCTCGAAGAAGGCAAAAGATGCAGTGTAGACCCTGCCGCCGGAGAACCGTCAGCGATTGCCCGCTTGGATATTCACTCATGAATTGCACCTACATGGTGATGACTTCAATCAAGATCTGGGGTTCAGGATTCGATATAGATGAGAACAAGCGGGGGAAGTGGGAGGGTGAGGGGGATGTAGCAGAGAAGAACGCATTTTGACTGATTGATAAAGCAAGGGCTCGGGTTGAAGTCCGAGTAGTGGAGCTTAAGCCCGAGGTTAAGAAGGGACGATGGAAGGTGGATTGTGGATTGTAAGTGAGGGGAAATGATGGAATTGACTTTCTGAGGTATGAGTAAGCCACTTTGTACTCCGTAAGTAGCAGCAGTGAATCTTCTAAGCGAGGAGGGAAGGAGAAGCATTCTGCCGTACCACCCCTTCCTTCCCCGCTGCACTGGAGTCAAGTACTACTGTACATACACAACATATGCACTGACCTGCACCAATGTTCTTCGAGGAACTCGACTCTTTCTTACATCAGATGCAAATCAGCCCTATGCAAGTTGTTTGCCGGGTTCCCGCCCTTTCTTGGAGCTTGTTTCCAGAGCCAAGCCGGTTACGAGTGGAATGGATCCATCTGGCACTGGGGCCGATGACGTGGTGGCTCAGCCCAGCAAGACAATACTGCTCCATTTTTCGTCATTCCCATGTGCGACTGTGAAAGCAACCCCTGCAATGTGCAGCTTCCATGGACTTGAAGGAACCATTATCACTATTATTTATCCATGATAGCTTGCGAACCATCGCACCAGAACACAGCCTAGGTAAAAGAGGTTTGGTCGGTCACACAAATTAGTTGCTGACATGCCGCGTGCGTAGGCATCACAATACTAGCACTTCTACTTTTACGTCACAGTTTGCCGGTGCGTCAGTGATTATTTATGGCGGCCCTTTTGCGACCGGACGATGGTGCCTCATCCACTTTACTGCTCTATATTAAGCTATCTGGGGCCCTCTTCTCCATATGTCTGAGTACCACTGTTATCTGGTTTTTTCGTCAGCCCAAAAGTCCCAATCAGTTTCGCACCACCATGCTACCGGACAGTGTTTACAGGCTCTGCCATGAAGATCAGACCGTTACATCCGAGCTGTTACGTGATCCCTCACAGACACCCCCAAAAGTGTTTCACCGCCTCTACAACGATCACAAATCCAAAAATCATTCCGACTCGAAGGAGTCTTTGACCGATAGAGATGAATTGCAAAAGGCGGCGGAGTGCGGGACCTGGGGTAATTCCCAGCCAAGCAAGCTTTTCCTTCAGGTCAGTCAGCTCGATGAACTTCGAGATGGCGGGGGATGATTGCTGACTACTGTGATACAAGATTTACCACGATGCTCTCTGTGCGTTAGATAAGAACCCAATGGTGGGCGTCGTCTCTCCGCCATTGATGGGAAGTCATGGTGTTGTACCCTTGACCATTATCGCTCCCTTGCCAGATTTGTGTCGACACATGGCGAATTGCATCGTGCGAGCGGAGAAGGAGGTCTTTCTGGCAACTAACTTCTGGATCCACTCCGACGCATCCACGCTTATCACCAATGCATTCCGTGAGCTTTCCAAAAGAGCAGGCGAACGCGGTGAGAAGGTGATTGTGAAGATGGTGTACGATCGGGGTGACCCGCAGCAACTGTTCGAGAATCATCTGCCCGTACCCGAGAAGAAGTACAGCGGCGGGAAGGTGAAGCTTCCCTCGTCCGAGGAGATCCCTAATATAGACCTGCAGGTCATCAACTACCACCGACCAGTGTTTGGCACATTCCATGCCAAGTTTATGGTAGTTGATCGTCGAATCGCGCTGCTACAGAGCAGCAACGTCCAGGACAATGATAACCTGGAAATGATGATTCACGTCGAGGGGCCCATCGTCGATGGTCTCTACGATACAGCATTGATCTCTTGGGGTCGCCCCCTGGAGCCCACTCTGCCGATGCTCGCGTCGCCAGCCACGGGTGCTGCGATCCCCTGCCAGTCGACCGTGGAGCTGGACCATGCAGCACCCGCACCCGGTCCTCTTCCTGAGCTCACCGTACAGGAGTCTCACTATGATACGAATCTAAAACATGAAGCAGAGCGAATGAATGGGCTACTTGAGCCTCGTGACGGTGAAAACAAAGTTCAAGCTGTCACTCGTCGTTTGAGTATGTCGGTCCTCGCAACTCTCATTGCAGATTGCTAACCGCGACCTAGATACTACGATTCAGCCCAATACGACGGGTGACGCTTCGGAACGCGATCAGGAGCTTCAGATGCAGCCTTATATTGTTCTTCCGCCCCATGATCCTTTCCCAATTGCTGTAGTCAACCGAGAACCTTGGGGGGGTAAGTCCAGTCGCGTGCCATTAGCAGTAGATAGGTCATTAACGAAGCGAAACTAGCACCGAACCACACGAGCGTCCATACCCCTCAGAACAGCAGTTTCCTCGCCGCCATCCATAATGCCCAAGAATCGATCTTCATTCAAACTCCGAACATGAACGCAGAACCCATCGTTCAAGCTCTGCAGGAGGCTATCAAGGCTCGCGGCGTAACGGTCACTGCATACTTGTGTCTGGGCTACAATGACGCTGGGGAGCTACTTCCGTTCCAGAATGGTACAAACGAAATGATCGCGCATCGGATGTACAAATCGCTGGAGACCGATGAACTACGCTCCCGACTTCGAATCTACAACTACGTCGCCAAG